ATCCACACCTGGCCGCCCGACCGGTGTCGCCGAGGATCGCGCGCGCAGGCGGACGTGTGCCGGATTTTAAATATTTAACAGGCAGCCGGCTCGCAGGCGACCCGAATGCGTCGTTATCTCGGCGGCCGGCGCGCGGCGCAGCGGCCCGCCTCATCGGCAGGCTCGCACAGGTCGTCAGAGATAACGGCAATTGGAGCGCGAACGGAGCACAACGAAACGGCTCGATAATCGATCCCGCGGATGTCTTTTCGACCGGGTTCGATTTAGGTTTAATCGACGTGGTCGGAAGTCGGCCGTGACTCGGCTCCCCCGGATTCCTGGAGGGGATGATTCGATCTTTCATGGTCCCGATCGGGCTCGATTGATACTGCCGTTGATAATTTTAGTTTTCGGTGGCAGTAGGGCTTTAGCGGAGATCCGATTGTTGGGGCTGCGGAGACTGATGGGGAATGGTTTGACACTGAAACTACCGGAGTCGAAATGATTCCTGATTTCCTTTTACTATTATTGGAAATAATGTTTCTAATGATGTATTGAAGTAATGGAGTTGGCAATACGAGAAGTGTAGATCGATTGAAGTCGCAATGAACATCGATGGAGTTTCTACGGAGAAGTTTCGAAAGGTCAAAGTAACTGTAGTTTGTGTTAAGAATAGATCGGCGGGTCTGAGCGGAGCCGTTTTTGGGTCTTTGAATTATTGGAAAGCGGATACCGCTCTAGGGAATTATTTAGTAGACTTTAGGTGTATAATAAAATTGCGTTGAGATTTCAATGATGTTCTTGAAAGTTCACTCGTGATTACGCAGTGCGTCGGAGAGACGACGCACAAGGCTCTTATCGCTCGATCCACGCGGCAGAGCGCGTCGTGGGTACACTAACGTGTATCAGCTCGTTCTTTACTCAGTTGCGACGCGGCCATAGGTCGATGCAGCTGAATTCGGTTTCGGAATGTACGTAAACATCGAAGTCGAAGCACGCGATATCGACCCGTGGCCGTTGAAAATGAGCCGCCTTAAACATTCTGTCAATTATCCCGACGAGCGATCGAATTACTCGAGTCGGGTACAACTTTCGTTCGAAGTACGCGCGGTGCACCGTTCCCCGTGTAATTCTCAGCGACGAGGTAACGGCGGCGAGCGCGGATCGTTGAAGAAATCGAGAGGCGAGCGATTAAACCAAACTCCCAGCGTTCCACGTGAAACTCCGCTCGCAGAGACGCGGCTCGCTCGAACACCGCGAGGCGAAACGTCGCGAGCGAACAATGGTAACGAGTTCTAACGAAGTTACAACCCCCGCGCTGGCGTGCTCCGGTAATAAACTAAACACAGGCGCTCGTAAACACCGGGGAGACAGACGCTGCGCGTCTCATCTCGCAGACAACGCCTCGTCGCCAGATATCATCGTCCGCGGGGCGTTTGAAGCGTTGCTCCTCACCCCCGAAAAACCACCCCCGTCCTCGAGCGCGAGAAAACGCGGCTCGAAAGTACAATAGGCAGCTCGCGTCTGTGCGGAGCACTCCGCGTTGCCCGGGAGGAGAGCCCTGGGAAGCAAGTTTTGTTCAGAATTTTGATTCGCTACGCGCAATCACGCTGATAAACAGCGAATCAGCGTCGATCACGAGACGAAGAAAGATCAGTAATCAGTCTTGTTTGTTTAAACCGACCGCTTAGAGCCTCGTTCTTCAGCTTAGCCATGAAAACGTACGATATTTCGCGAGAAAACACTACAATCGAAATCCTCAAAGAAATCTTCAGACTGGCAAACGCTCAAAAGTATAAAGCACGAGTGTTCCCCTCGCTAATTTGCTATTTACCATGAAGCTTCCTCCTACCCAATCGAAACTCCGAGCAAAACAGCCGGCAGTCTATTTCCTGACCCGCGACGTCCCGGAATTCCCCCGGCGGGAGACGCGCGACAGTCGTCGGAGAGCCGAACGTCGTTACACGGTTCAGCAAACACTAGAGTCACGCGGCGCGCGGAGCGGAGAAAAAGCCTGCCTCTTGTTCCCCGAATCGAAAGACAAAGAATCCGAACGCGAGAGGCAAAACATGGGGCGCGAAGAGTCTCGAATTTCCCTCCGCCCCGATTTTCTAACGAAGCGACTGTTTCCAGCGGCGGCGCAGGGTCGCGTGGAGGAGACGCAGATGGACACGCACGAGGGGTCCACGGTGCAGCTGCAGTGCCGCTTCTCCCCGCCCCGGGAGAACGTGACGTGCTTCTGGCTGACGCACACGAACGACAACCACGACAACGCGGCGGTGGACAACCGCGAGCTGTCGCCGCAGTACAAGGTCTTCATGAACCTCGAGGAGGGCCGGTATGATCTTCAGATCAGGAACGTGTCCTACGAGCGGGACAACGGCAAGTACGAGTGCCGCGTGAAGGCGAACGGCGCCGGCATCGACCTGCACCGGAAGTTCATCACGCTGACGGTGCTGCGAGCGCCGGGACCGCCGACGATCTCGCCGGCCTCGGCATCGGCGACCGAGGGCGAGAAGCTCGAGCTACAGTGCAACACGAACGGCGGCAGCCCCGAGCCGGAGGTCAGGTGGTACCGCGGCAACGAGACGGCGGTGCTGCACTCCGGCAAGACGCTGCTGGTGGAGCCGAAGAAGGAGGACGACAGGGCGACGTTCCGCTGCGTGGTGAGGAACAGAGCGATGCGGGACGGCGAGACGCTGAACGCGACCGTCACCCTCGACGTCAACTACTTCCCGCGGGTGACCGTCGGCCCGGAGAACCCCCTGAAGGTGGAGGTGAACGGCACCGCGAACCTGGAGTGCCGGGTGGACTCGAAGCCGGTGGTGGAGATGGTGCGCTGGTGGCGCGACGGCAGCTTCGTCGCCACCAGCTTCCAGCACACCATCAAGCGGGTGACGGTGCAGGACTCCGGCAAGTACACCTGCCAGGCGGACAACGGCCTGGAGAAGAAGGGCGAGAGCTCTTTGATACTGGACGTCCTCTACCCCCCGACGGTCACCATCGAGGGCGACACTCTGAGGGAGGCCGAGGTCGAGGACACCGTCACGGGCCACTGCAACGTCACCGCCAACCCCCTGCCCTCGGTGATCGAGTGGCTGAGAGAAGGTCGGCCCGACTTTCGCCAGTTAGGCTCCATCCTCAGGCTGAGCCGCGTCACGGCTGACCACGCCGGCAACTACACTTGCCGCGCTGTCAACACTATCCACCCCTCCGGCGGGGACAGGAGGAACTACTCTGCCACCGCCAGGTTGACTGTCAGGGTTAGGCACAAGCCTGGTCCGGCTAGAGTCACTCCGGACTCGCCGGTCGCAGTTGAGGGGTCGAGAGTCATCCTCACTTGCAAGGCTAGCCCTGCCGGCTACCCCGAGCCTAGGTACAAATGGTGGAAGGAGGGCGAGGCAGGGACCATCTCCATGGCTTCGGATAATACCGGACCCAGGTACGAAATCGACTCCGTCCACCTGGGCAGCGAGGGGACCTACAAATGCCACGCCACCAACGAGGTCGGCAACGGCGAGGCCGCCTCCGTCAACCTGACCGTTCACCAGCCGCCGAAGATACTCACCAAGCTGCAGCCGCATGTTACCAGAAAGTGAGTAGATCGCGGTTTGCACCCGCTCCTCTCGATAGATCGATACACCCCAATTTTGGTAAAAGGGATGAAGGTCTCCGATGCGCGCGTGTGCGCGTCCGGCCGCACGCACGCACGCGGCGTGTGTGCTTTATTCCAGGCACCGCCGGGGAATGTTTGATCACTCAGCGATCGCGGCCCACAGGTGAACGAAAGGTAGCGCGGGGTTGTATTATTTCGTGATTGCTGCTTTGATGTCGCCGCTCGGTCACGCGGGTCCTATGAAAATTTGATCATCGAGGCTTCTTTCTCGGGGAGGCCGGGAACCGTTGTTTCGCCGGCTGACAGTCGAGCATTTTCGAGCGGCGAGCTTGTCGCGCTGCGGCCTTCGTTCCTACGCGGAGTAATTAAATTAATTAACCGATGGCCCGGCGCTTGGCTGTCGGATCGTTGACACACGCGCGACCAAAATATGGAATGTAAATAACTGAAATTGATCCCCCGGTCGCGGCTGTTCGGTAACGGGCTTTTATTTTCGTTCTAGCTCCGCGTGTTTCGCGCGTTTGTAAATACAGAACTCGCATCCGCGACGGAAGTCGGCGTTTGGACGTTGCTAGCGTCGTTTCCTGCCGATCGCGGAGGGTTCGTTATTAGTTTCGAAGATCCGATTGTCTTCGAGTCGCTTTTATTCGGTCGGAACTGCTCGATCTCCGAGTGTCTCGCGCGGCCGCATAAAATTTGAACGCTTCGGGGACCGTGAGAAGCCTCGAGAGGGTAACTGAGTCTCGTCAACAAATCTCTGAAGCACGGTTCCAAATCCCGCTGGCGCGGTTCCCATTTTTCCTAGGCTTCCGCGATAGCGCGCATTTACATGAGATCTCCTTACTTTCACTCGCGGAATCCCAAAACACTCCATGCACCACCGAAACACATCTGCCCCCGACTCGTATCGATCCCGGAGTCGGACGACAGAAATTCTAGCTTCGAGTTCTTATTCGGTTCGTTGGTACTAATTAATTCCAGTCGGAACTTTGAAAAATACCGGACTGCAGACGGTTCAGTGCGCCGTGTTTTATTCATATAATAAAAACTGCAGGAACCAGAGATTCGTGGAGCATTAACTCTTTACGATCAGCACATTCTGGTGACAGTACCAACTGGTCGACGCAAATATTTTTCTGTACGTGGTTTATAATAAGTATATGGATATTAAAAATTTGCCGAAGTTACTGTGCTTCGTTGAAAATGAATTCTGTAAAGAATAATACATCTTTTGATCGTAAAATAACGCTAGAGAAAAATAAGATGCCATATTGGCGACATTGTGGCGGCCCCGTCGCAATGGGTTGACTGAAAGTAAACCTATAATCTTAGTTCTTCGCGTGATATTAATAGCATCCATCTGCCAATTCGACAAATATCCCCAGATAACGAACCCAACCCCCTAAGCTTCAGTCATATAATATTACTTACCTCCAGCTACAAATACGCAAAACATCGTAATACTAATACCATCCATCTGCTAATTCAACAAACATTTTCACCAACCCTAACTCCCACCCTCCAACCATCTAATATTATTTACAAGCTACAAATTTGCAAAACATCATGATACTAATACCATCCATCTGCCAATTCAACAAACATCCTCAGCAACCCTAACCCCTAACCCCTAACCTTCAAACATACAATATTATTTACAAGCTGCAAATCCGCAAAACATCATGATACTAATATCATTCACCTGCCACTTGGACGAACATCTTCACGAACCCTAACCCCTAACCTTCAAACATATAATATTATTTACAAGCTACAAATCGCAAAACACCATGATTCGTTTCCACAGAGTGGGCGAGTCGTCGTTCCAAGTGTCCTGCGTGGCGCAAGGCAAGCCCCGTCCCAGCGTGCGCTGGCTGAAGGACGACCAAGAGCTGACAGCGGACGAGAGGCTGTACAAAGTAACGACGAGCGCCTTGGAGGGCCACGGGAACGTGATCAACGTGAACTCGACCTTAAGCTTCCTAGGCCACGCTCGGCCGCAGACGGACGAGATCGTCGCGAGCGACCGCGGCAAGTACACCTGCGTGTTCGTGAACGAGGTGAAGAAGGTGGAGTCGACGATGATGCTGAAAGTGGAGCACGAGCCGATACCGCTCCACCAACACGGGAAAGTAGCCTACGACCTCGGGGACTCGGCGGAGGTGACCTGCAAAGTGCAAGCCTGGCCGAAGCCGGAATTCCAATGGAGCTTCGGGACGAACCCCGCGCCGCTGCAGGGCTCGTCGAGCGACGGTCCGTACGAGATCTTCACCAGCAGCGACAACTACGACGTGTACATGTCCGTGCTGAGGATAGCGAACATCCGCGAGTGGAATTACGGGGATTACAGCTGCCGCGCGGCGAACGCGCAGGGCAGCATCACGTCGACGATCCGGCTGCAGCCGAAAGGCGCGCCGGACAAGCCGATCAACGTCACCGCGATGGACGTTGGGCCCACCCACGTGGCGCTCCTCTGGGAGCTGGGCTTCGACGGCGGCCTGAACATCACGAAATACTTCGTCTACTACAAACGAGTGCCCGGCGGCGACGAGATCATCGTGCCGGACTGCCCGGGACCCAGGTCGCCGGCGGGACTGTGGGCGGAGGTGCAGTGCGTCTGGACGAATCCCTGCAACGTCACGGAGCTGGAGCAGCATCAGACTTACGCGTTCAGGGTGAAGGTCTACAACACGAAGAACCATTCAGATTACTCGGACGAGATCACCGCTACTACCGCCGTCCCGAAGATCCCCGCGCCGCTCGAGGTCAGCTACGACCCGGAGAGCGGCAGGCTGGTCATCAGCGTGAAGGAGACCTGCTTGTCGCTGGTCGCGCTGATCGAGAAACTGGACACGCCGACGTCCTCGCTGCAGGAGTCCCAGTGGAAGCTGCTCGACGAGTGGCAGCTGGAGGTGATGGGCACCGCGTCCACGCAGAGGGAAGGCGACTTGAAGGACTACAAGTCTCTGGGCGACGACCCGAAGCTCAGGATCCGGCTGTGCCTGAAAGCCGACAAGCAGAAGTGCGGGGAGTACGTGCAGGCTAAGAGTGAGTACTGGTTTTTCGATGCGGATCCCGTTACCGAGGATTCGGCCGGATGTTTGAGACGTGTACTTTGCATTTGCCAGTTGGCCCGTCGCGCATCGCGCAGGCGGGCGCGCTCGCCACGCCGACGCTGATCGCGCTGGTGGTCAGCGGAGCCGTCTTCCTCCTGTTCGCGGCGCTCCTGCTGCTCTTTTGTCGGTGTCGCCGGAAACACGCCACGAAGGCCAAGGACTACGAGATGGACTCCAACGCGTGAGTACTGCAGCGTTTGGCTTTGGTCTCCTTGGGTTCGGGAATTGGGGCACTTCGTTGGTCTCTGGAAACCGTGAAGCTTCTTTCGATAGATGACTCATTTCGGAATCAGATTGTTCAATTTTTAACATTGGAACTACTGGCTCGAAATGACGAATTCCGAGTTTCTTTTGCAATTGTTATAAAGGCAGAGGCTGCGTGTTTGACAGTAGAACTACCGTTTCGTGATTTATTTGTTTCCAGTTATTGGAAAGATGACGGATGCTTCCTTGAGAAATTACTAGAGAAATTGATTTGGTAATACCTAAACTGAAATAGCATTTACCAAGGAATTTGGAAAAGACGGTTCAACGCTAGATTTACTTAGACGTGAATTATTATAATTATTATCCTAGTAATTTATTTTTAAACCCCTAATTTCCAAGGTCACTAACGAATATCAATTTTTCTAGGAATAATAGAATCAACTATACAAACGTCCGTAAACCTATCGTTAAATGCTCGGTAGTTCCAGTGTTAAGACACTTCCTCGATTACCTCCGACATTCGTCACTCCACAGTTCATCCTATTACCCCATAGAAATTCCTCCACCTCATAAACCAAACTTTCAACGTTACTCACCTCCGCGAACCCAGATCTAACACTAGAACTACCGAGCATTCGACACGATTGAAATGTAATCGACCAAATGAATGAATTCGATTCAAATGAAACAATTTACTTTCAAAATCATTTCGACTATTCAATGCTTCGAAGATATCAATAATTGCGAAACAGAAGAAACCAGTCATTTCGACTGGTAGCTCCAGTGTTAACACGTAGCCAACCGAATGAGGAAATCTCCCACTTTCCACTTAGAAACGTACTGCCTTTCATTCTATTTACCTTTTCTTTTATTTAGTAAATCTTGAAGTGGTACTATTCGCAATTCATCAAACACAGTTCTTACTCTCACAAAACACAGTTTCCAACCGAATTAATCGAACGACTAGTGGAAGATAATGGAGGAGTTTCTAGTTATAATTCCTTTCAAGCGGTCTAAGTCTCAAGATTACCTCTTCACCTCGAAATCCCACAACACTCGTCCCACATCCACAACTTCAAACCTCCAGTTCCCCGCTTCTGTTTGAAGTCAATTAATTTCCCGACTGAATGTCTCATACGGCAAAGCAAACATTCACGGTGCTCCCGCGTTCTGTTAGGGTACGGCCGAGCCTAGTCGCGGGGAATGGCCAGCAGAGCCAGGCGCCGCCGCCCTATTACGCGGAGAACAAAGCCCTGGAGCACAGCCTGGACCACGCGCTGGCCATGGAGGATTCCAAGACGCCCGCGTACTCGCAGCCCGGCTACGGCTACCATCAACCGAACCACAATATCAACGGTACGTACGACGAAATCACAACCGCGCCTCGACCCGAGGCGTCGCGTCCTCTCGCCGAGCGTGAGACGGAACGCGCCACGCACGTTCGACGAAGGGGAAAAAAAGGATCTCGGGATATTTCCTTCTCGCATCCCATCGCGTCGGAATCGCAAACGGAAGACCCGCGTCGGGGAACAGGTTACGCTCCCCGTCCGTCCGTCCCGTCCCTTCTTCTCTGTCTCTCCTTTCCCGACCGAGGATGGAAACAATGGCGGAGGAAAAAGTTGCCTTAACGAGGTCTAACTTCCTACGATTATACTTTTTCTCCCCCGCCCCGCGCGCGGCCCGCCGCTCGCACGAGTGCAACCGTATACCGGCAAAGTGCAACGGCAATTTGCCATTTCTTTCCATCTTCGCCGGTAAAGAGATGTGGCGCGTCCTAGTTGCGTGACTCGGCCCCTATACGGCCCTGGATAATTCATACGGCTGTTACGCCGCGAAGGATGCCGCGTTTTCGCGTCTCCGCGAACAATTTCGCGATAACGCCGTATCCCGCGCCCGGGACATCTTGATTCCGACGCCGCGCCGCGCCGCGCCGCGCCGCCTTGAAAAATATTTCATGAGCAATAAGCCCCGCGTTTTTCGCCGAGCAACGCGAAGGGAGTAGCGGCGGCTCTGCTCGACGGTTGACAAAGGCGAAGTTGATTGTTTAACGAGATCCTCGTGTAGCTTCTTCGCTTCGAGACGCTTAACCACTTGCGCCTGCGACGGATCGAGAAACTCGGCGGGATCTCGAATTTTGTCTTCGAGTATTGTATACTGATATGTACACAAATGTTTACCAGTTTTGTGCGAAGTGGTAGATTTCAATCTGGAGCATGTGATCTAATGAGACTATCGACGTTTGCAATATGTCGTCGGTGATTTTCGGACAAAAATATCACGGCGTAACACCTCTTTCTTCACCACTTTTCGCGACGGTGCGACTGACCTTAGTGAGTTAACCCTTTGCACTCGAAAGTTTTTCACTAGAAATATTCAACACTGTCCGATGAAATATAGACGATGCTCGTCGCGACTAATGTAAATAATTTAATCGATAAATTAAAGGACTGTTTTACTTTGATATTTCACATAGTGACGCGTTATTCAAGGTTTAGTGTTAAACGTCAAACTTTATAATTTTACTGTATCAGACCAAGAGAGTCACCTCCCGAGTGCAAAGGGTTGAACGTTAACACTAGGTTTACGGGCATTTATTGTACACTTCATTCTATTATTCCTAAAAGAATCGATGCTCGTTTATCTAGATTGTGGGAACTGGAGATTCGATAGTAGGTAATTGGGGTACATGTCAGTGGAGATTCGATAGTAGGTAATTGGGGTACATGTCAGTGTGATCGCATCAATTAAAATCGGCGCGAACATTTACAAAATAATATTTCTAAAACCCAATATGCGTCAATTTCACGCGTTCCGTAAATCTAGTGTTAACCCTTTCGCGACGGCGCACCTGTACCATTCTTCGCCATTTTTCGCAACAATGCAACTGACCATACTTTGTCGTCGTTCGCGAAAGCGCAAGTGAACCACACTTCTCCAATGTGTTTACAGCTTAATTTTGAGTTCGCCGTTGAAATAAAATAACAATATAAAATAACCAACAAGTGACTGCCCTATATAAGCGGCGTCAGCTTCTGTGGACCAAAAAGTGGCTGCCGTATATACACGGCACCCGCCGCGAAAGGGTTAAAGATAATTGATAAACGCATCTGTTGGCAAATCGTTCCTCCTCGGGATGGATCGTTGCGGACGTTTCGCGCGTCGGCTGGACGCAATCCGCGTAGCCAGCGAGCGGAAAACAATGGCGCGATGGCTTTTACTTTCCGCTCGCGCAACGATAACGCGGCGCGTCGCAACGCCAATTAACATTGAATTATCCTCGTGCTCGCTGAATTAAACGTTGCGAAAGCAAGACCCAGTTCGCGTCCGCTTGTTCGGCAGATGTTTCAGGGGATTTTTGCGCCAGCTTTATTGCCCAACGCTCTCGACGATCGTTCGCGATAACGGTTGTCGCGCTGGGGTTCGTTGTAATTTCGCCGATGGGAGATATACAGGTTTTCCGGCAGAACCGTCGTCGCGTTTCGTGGGCCCCGATAAGGGAAAACACGCCGTATAAACGCACGTCGCTCGGTGGCGTCGTTAAAAAGTTGTATGAAAGAAGCTATAACGAAATGACCGATAACGAACGTTCGTACACCGAGGACTCTCTGTGAATAGACGTAGTTATAGGGGTTATAGAGGAATTAATTATATAGGATTTTCTAACTGCCACTAGAAAGTAAGTGTGATCGATACGATCGACGCGACACACTGGGACAACGCGGGTTCGTTACCGTTCGCTTCACGTGCGACTTTATTTGCCGGGACTTCTCCGAGATGCTTCCAATAACGGCTGTCCCGACGGTTTTTCCTTATTTCGAACTGTAGAGAAACTTTCTTTGTACCTCCATAGGTACGGTGGCGTTTAATGAAACGCGGTGATTATTAACCTCTCGCGGACGGAAGTCGGGATGAAGTTTTCGTATTTGGAAGGGAAAGTCGCTGGCGAATGATTTGCTTATTCGAACAAGAGACCAGTATCAATTTTTTATACTCATTAACCCATTTGAGACAGATTTTTTTCGAACACGGTCCTCAGGAGCGAAGGACATAAGGATATTATTATTATTGCACACATGAAATACTAAAACCCAAAAAATCTCTCGCGACTATCAAACAGAACTCTGCTCTACTCGCCACAAAATACTAAAAATGCAAAAAAACTCGTGCGACAATCAAACAGAATACTACACTACTCGCCATATAATACTAAAATCAAAAAAAGCTCGCACGACTATCAACTCTACTCTACTCGCCACGAGATACTAAAATCCAAAAAAGCTCGCGCGACAATCAACCCTACTCTACTCGCGAAAGCGCCGGATGAATCGATCGCGATTAACGCAGCATCCCTTCTCCCCGAGCAGGTGTGAACATGGGCTACATGGACAACAGCTACTCGAACTCGAATAACGGTGGTTCGGTGAACTCGCAAGACTCCATCTGGCAGATGAAGTCGGCGGCCGCGAACGGAGTGGGCCAGCCGTACGACCTGGCCGGCTACGCAACCACCGAGTCGGATTACCCGACCCATCCTCATTACCTCCCGCAGAGGGAGGATTACCGGGAAAGCCATAATCTAAGTCGACAGCAGTTTTGCTCGGAACCATTCGCCACCGTCGTAAAGTCTCAAAAACACGTCGGTGAGTACTATTCTTTAGCTACGCTCTCTCTCCACACCCCCCCGCACCGGGGGGCTGTTCCACCCTTTCTCCATTTCCTCGGTTCCAACCCCTGCCTCGGCCCCGCGCACCGCCGCGCGCCTCGCGATCGACCCGAACGATGGACATTCAATTCTATCTGTCGCGAGTTCCACGAGCAATTTAGTCATACGAAAGTTCCGGATTCGCCCGTCCGTTGATCGAGGACATCTGGAGACGTCGAAAACATCTTGACAGGCCATTAACGGTCTTAATAAATTTAGAAACGGCGAGCGTCATCTCTCCCTCCCCTTCGCGGAAGTTTCGCGAACGATTTATTAAGAGACCAATGAATCCGTGGAACGACCCGAACGCGTTTTACTGTCGGACAGGTTGTCGGCTCTCTCTCCTTTGTCTCTAGTAGACGCCGCCGATTCTTCCGGGATTAACGAAGTGGCTTCGAGTGCCTCGATAATCACCGGGCGACGAGTAATTGGAGCCATTTCGTGCCTTGTCGCGCGGCCATTCGCGTGTTTCGTGATTCCTTCGACGGGCGTGATCGTGATTTACCGCGATCGTTCGCGGGGAATTACGCTCTCGCCTCGGAATCAACGATCCTGCCACCTCCCTTTCGACCGACGTCGTTAAAAATGCGTCGAGCTTGCATCCTCCGCTTCGGACGCAGACGGACAGTTCCTTAACCCATTCGCTGCTAAGGAGTATGCTCGTCTGTTTACCGAAGTTCTGTTATTTCTTGGTAGGAGCGTATATATTATCATACATAATCGTTTACACGCGTAAAATCAAAGACGAGTATACTCGTCGTTGGGAAGGCAACGGGACTCGACATGTTTGTGGGCAAAAAATTTGCTTATTCGAGAGCCTGTGTGTTGTAACATTGAAAGTAGGACGAGTATGCTCGTCTTTGGTTTTATGCATGTAAATGATTATGTATGATAATGTATGTGCTTTTATCAAGGAATAACAGAACTTTGGTAGACAACAGCACTCAAAATATAAATGGCAATGGGAATAGCTTCATAATATAGGCTTGGCAGCGAATGTTAACCCTTTGCACTCCGTAGGCTCCAATATTTCAGCAGATATAATATTAAATATTTCAATGAATCTTAAAGAAACTACACTAAAATTGTTAGATTTTCCACACATCCAAATTTTGTATTAAGAAGGAAAATAGAAGATCGAAGAAATGTTATAGCACATCTATTTTCGCTAGGAATACTGTAAAAATTAGTTGCAGTTGCTGATTACGAAACAACCTGGAGTGCTAAGGGTTAATAGTGGAATATTGATGATTAGTAGTAGATATAGTATTTTTCCTTTATTTTCTTTGTAAAGTGCAAAGGGTTAACGTGCTTCGTGCCACGGAAACTTTGGTATTGATTTTTTTAATGAAACAAGTTGTATTCAAGCTTTTGGTCATTCTTATGTATTTTGGTATTGCTTTGCTTTCGCTGCTTTGTAACGTATTATCCAAGATCATGTGTCTTTTAACCAATTATCTGTGTTTGACGAGTATACACGTCATAAAGCTTGACATGATACTAATTCTTTCAGCGATGAATTCTTTATTTCTTCATATAAACATGTAATTCTTTGTTTCGCTCTGATCTTTCATTAAAATATACTCGTGCATTCGTCCTTCGACGAGTACACGCTCCATTTTATTTTATTGCGCGCAGAGGTTTTTCCAATTAAATTTCACCGTTAACTGGTTAAACATATTTTCTTACAAAAATTGACGTGTACCAGTCCGTAGAATCGAATGAAGTTTATTTTCCTTGTAATTATTTATCTTTGTATTATAAAATATCTTTTCTTTCGTTATTTAACGAGTCTTGAACTGGGATAATTTGCATCAAATACGGTTTTTACAAAGCACAGTTTCTAACCGAATTGACTGAGTTCAATCGAAGATAATACAGAAGATTGCAGTTATAGTCCTTTTTAGGCGGTCGTCTAAATTGCACGGAATTCGTATATTTTACGTGGACGTTTTCCGAAAAGATTCACGACGAAGGAGATTCCACCTTCGATCTGCAGTTAGCAGATTCCCTCGACCACCCTCCGCGACACGAACGCGGTTGTCCCGAATCTAGAGTCCCATTGTAAGTCACCGCGCGCTCTTAAACCAGAGAAAAGAGCGGCCGCCGACAGTAAATAATGAAAATGTCACCAGCCACGAGATTCCTCTCGGTCCGATCGGAACAGGAACATTTCACGCTCACCGAGCGGCCGTGTTCGACCCTGTCGGAACAGCAACCGTCGCGATACCTCATCCCCCGGGCGCCCCGTATCTTACAACGCGATCTCTCCGCGTTCCCGCGCTCACGTTTCCCGTGCACGTACCGCGAAACCGCCTCCTCTCGCGTGTTCTTTCGTGTCGGAACAGAGGCTCCCAAAGTGCGGGTCGCGACCCGCTGGATGGCGAGCTGATTTCCGACGGAATGAAACTCGGCACGAGGATGTACGTAATCTTTTGAAATCGGAAACTTCGGTGGAACGCGGTGTCTCTTTATTCATAAACCTCCGGTACGGCAATATTTAGTATGTTTCGTTTTAAATGAATGGAGTTTGTGTTGAATTAATCCTCTGTTAAGTAAACTGAATGCTCTTTAAGCTTTGAGCTTTAAATTACCTTTGTTAAAGTATATCAAATGGCATGTTTCTTCTTAAGAATCCTCTTGTATTTCCAGTTAGTTGCTAACAAACTCCAATTTTTAATTGATCTTTGATTTAGTAGCTCGCGAACTGAAGAACAGTTGATTTATTCGAAACGCAAGAGAATTCTTCAGCTACGTTCGTGTCAGGAAAATGATGTTTGATCTACATTAACACTAGAACGTAGCAGTCAAAATGACTGGTTTCTTCTGTTTCGCAATTATTGATATCTTCAAAGCATTGAATAGTCGAAATGATTTTGAAAATAGTTTCACTTGAACACTATAATGAATGTCCAAAGAAACCGAAAATAGTCTATTACTACAATATTCATAGCGATTGCATTTCAATCGTATCAGATGATCGGTAGTTCTAGTGTCAATAAAGGTATTTTAAACGGGACTCAGTTTACTTGAAACAGGATTGAATATAAACTTAACACACCTTGTAAATAAAAAATAAAATATCGTACCAAAGGGTTAGAACCAAAGAATCCTCATTATTGCTATGTTTCAATTAATATCCCACACAATCATCCACGATACCCAAATACCTCGTCACTCATCCACTACCTGTCCCACGGAAAAGAACTCCGAACTACAGCACGATGAGAGCCACTGCCGCAGGATTCTAAGCGCGACCGTTCTTGTTTGCCCGACAGATTCGCCGTACGACGTGTCCGGTCTACCGTATCAGGAGAACTACGACGAGGACGCGAAGCCGCCGCAGCAGGTCAGCCTGTCGTACGACGAGAGCCTGGAGTCGGGCTACTCGACCCCGAACAGCCGTGGACGCAGGATCATCCGCGAGATAATCGTCTGAGACCTGCCTACCGGCTCGCGAG